GTCGGTCCGTGTGTCGGTCTGTCTGTGTGGGGGTGTCTGTCCGTCCGTGTGTCTGTGTGTCCGTCCGTCTGTGTCTGTCTGTGTCCGTCCGTCTGTGTCCGTCTGTCCATCTGTCTGTGTCCGTCTGTGTCCGTGTGACGTCCGTGTGTCCGTCTGTGTGTGTGTCCATCCGTCTGTCCGTCTGTGTCCGTCCGTCCGTGTGTCTGTGTCTGTCCGTCTGTGTCCGTCTGTCTGTGTCCGTCTGTGTCCATCTGTCTGTGTGTGGGTCAGTGTGTCCGTCTGTCTGTCTGTGTGTACTGGTCTGCGAATGAACACAGCGTGGGCGGTACTACTCTGTGCCTAGAGGGAAATGGTACATAAACCCCACCCTTGCGTTACTGCAATGACAGCTGTTCCGCTCCCCTTGTTCAGTGCTGCACCATTTAGAGCAGCTTTCCTCCCTGCATCAGTGTGAAGGTGAAGTGAGTAAGATCTTAGTGACTGTTCATAATCCATTAAAAATAGCACATCGCATATGTCTAAATGTAGATAACTGTATTTTACCTTTCCCAGGTGTTGTTCAAGGCATGATAACAGGAATTCGAGGACTGTGTAATGGTTTGGGACCAGCACTGTATGGCTTTATATTCTATATATTTCACGTTGAACTGAATGAACTCCCCATGCCTGAATCCCCATCAGGAGGTGGTGTGGTCTCACAGTACCATTTACAACAGGTATTCTTTTACTTATTAATTCCAAAAATACATTCGGAAGGGAGCGCGTCCCCAGCAGTTCTTGAGTATGATGCTGTATTACATTTTGTTTTGCTAACTCTAAATGAAGCTGTAAAAACAGGTTCTGAAATTATTCGTGGGGAGAGTTGTTGATCTGTCTGGTTGGTTTTAACGAGGTGTTGTGGTTTAGTTCAACTTTCAGAGATGTAAAGCCAATAGTAATTAGACAATTGATGACCCTTGTAAAGAGAACAGATGGAGGGAAGGATGGACTCACAGTGGCAGCATTGACATTGTATTTACCTTTCACATGTTGCACATTTTTGTTTGGTTGTCCTTTAGTCTTTTAACCAAGCTCTCTGTATTTTTTCAGTTCTTAATAGATATTAGGAACTATTGAGGAAACTCGGCAGTAAGAACTTGCCCTCGAAAAGGAAGCTGGCACACACTGATAGGAACTGTGTGCTCCCTCTCCTAAGTCTTAGGATGTAACATTCTTTCCCCAGGACTCCACCTGGGGACAAATACTGTATTGGCAAGTGTAGCAAGAAAAAAATTCTTCCCACTCTTAAAATGTGTGTCCTTAGCAACTGTAGCCTGCTAACACCTGTCTGAGGTTCGCTAATATTTTGTGGTGTGTTACTGTTGTTGTTTTCAGAATTCTATAATTCCTGGACCCCCCTTCTTATTTGGAGCCTGCTCTGTGCTGTTGGCGCTACTTGTTGCCTTGTTCATTCCTGAACACACAAACCTAACCGTGCGGCCCAGCAACTGGAAGAAGCACTGTGGCAGCCATGGCCATCCCCACAGTCCACAAGCTCCTGGTGAAGCTAAAGAACCATTATTGCAAGATACAAATGTATGACAAAAATCCAAGATGAGCTTTTGGACTCTTTTTTTTCATCAACAGTTTGGGATACACATTCCAGTTCCATCAAAAGTATCTTTTCTTAAGGTAATCTTAAGAACTATCTTTCTGCATGAAACTTGTAGGATTTTTTTTTTTTAAAAGGAAGCTTCTCCAAAGATGTTGCCATTGAGTTAAGAATTTGCTTTCAAAAACAAACTGAGATGTACTTGTCTCTTGCCATGAAATACCGTTACCACTAAACTTTACATTCTAGTTGAGACAAAAAAAGAATGGAGTCAAGGCATGAGCATGTGTCCTTCTGTTTCCTTAAGGTGGTGAGCTTTAATTCTCGTCCTGCTAAGTCTCAATGAGACATTCTAGCATCCATGTGGACCCATTTCATTTTAATGTTGTAAAATCTTGGGTCAGATGATTCAAAGCCTTAATGTAAATGTACTCGAGTAGGGAGAAGGTGAACTGGTATCATTTATTTTAAGAGTCATATGGCAGGTTTGGTTCTTTTTTTTAAGTTTGTACTAATATAAAAATCACACGCTTGCTGAACAGTAAAACTTATTTTTTATGTAAGTGCATTTACTCTTTCTATTTTTGAATAAACGGTAGTACCAAACACTTGTTTAAATATTAAGTGGGTGTTTTGAGCCTACAGATTTTAATACTGGCTCTAAAACTCTGCTTTGCTAAGTACCGTTTATTATACCACTATATTTCTGATGTTTGCATAATCATAAAGGACCTCAAAACTTGAATACACAGACTGAAGTATAAGCTGATAGCCTTGAATCTGTCCGTGTGCTATATCGTGGCCTTTGAGGACTGTCACAATAACCCTTTTGCATTACAGAGCTAATGTTTTAGTCCTAAATTTTCAGGACCCTTAGTACAGAAGAGAGCTTTATACAATTACTGATGTGAATTTCTCTAAAGTGTATATTTTTGTGTCCAGTTGTATTATTTAAGTGTTCCTTTGTATAAATTTGTGTATAAAGTATTGTATAGGTTTAAAATGTTTTCATCTTGTGGTTATTGCTTAATGCTTTTTTACCTTCAAACATTCACCATGGTTGACCAAGAGCAGGAAAAAAAAATATGTAAATATACTGTTAATAAATTTGAATATTTTAATGAATTTTTAAATACTTGTTAATGTTGCTTAAAACCTTAAATTACTAAAAATAGTGCATGTGTGTTATACTTCAG